ATTCACTTCATGAGGACATTAAAAAGCTTTACATACTAATGTAACTGTAATACTTTAAGGAGATTCAATTAGAAACAAAAGTTATTTGCATAAACACCAAAACCCCTTTAATATTCTATGAATTTAAAAACTGTTTCCTTGAATTCCTTTTGTCGTTTTTGTGCTTTTTGAATTTTTGTCCTTCTCTATAACTCAATCATTCCTAATTTCTAACCTGTATTACCATCTGTTGAGCCTGGATTATCTGATTTATTTTGTACTACCCGAGACTGGATTATGGAGTAAAGTGGGTCCCCGGGTCCCCCAGATGCCCCCCCCCCCAAAAAAAAACCCAGGTTCACTGTGTGAAATTCAAATATTAGCTGACATTTTTACTTCCTTAAGTTGGTTCCTGCAGAGGAATACTGTCTAAAATGAGGAGGGAAACATGGAGTTAACGGGGGCCCAGAAGCCATATATATTTGTGTATATATCTGTATTGCTGTCTCCAACTTTCCCTGTTTTCAGCTTTGTGCATTGTTTCAGATTATAAAGTTTTTTTTTTGTTTATTTAGCTAAATAAGTCAGAGAATGTTCCCAACCCATAAAGACACACTAAATCCTTCAGTTTGTCTGGAAAATTCAAATCACTAGACACAACCTCTACGAACCTTTTGTTTTTCCAAATTTAAATATTTGGATAATACATATAATTGGAGTCAGATTATTTCTGACATTCGTCAGCCGCCCATAAAGCACCACAGAGATGTCATTCTACGTGCTCTAGTTCTATTTCCAAGCAGCCCACCATGTATGACTCCTGCCCCACATTAGTGCACTCTGCTACGGGAGGGAAGCCAGGAAAGGAGGGGGCTTGGCACAGGGCCTCTACACCACACACACACACACACAAGTCAATGCTTCGGAGAGCTCTTGGCTAGACTTGAAAAGCCTTCATTGACGTCTTGGCTGCTGTGTACAATTTGCTTCCTCGTCTGTCTGCACATGCACACACAAACACACACATGCATACACACTCTTGTCTGCAAGTCTGTGGGTGATCGGTGCCATTTATTAGACTGTGGGGAAAAAGACTGGATTGAATGAAAGAACTCACACACACATACACCACACACACACAGCTCCCCCTTCATCCGCCCACACTAAGTTAATTGCTTCCTCTCCTCCATCTCTTTCTTCTGTTCCTTCCACTATCAACAGCTTCTGTCTCAAGACCAAGTTCATTTAAATCTGCCTTTATTTACATCGGACATTCTGCACAAACCGTGCAGTTCAACGTGTTGTTAATATGTGCAAGTTTAAGATATTTGCTGTTCAGAAACAAAACTGGGATTTTATTTGTGATGAAATATCCAAATCGGTTCACTTCTTTTTTTATGCTTTTGATATGATGATCTTGAGTTGCATTATGGGTATTGTAGGATGCAGCTTCTTTGTTCTAAGTTTGACCCATACTAAAAGTCAAGATATCTCCAGATTTTCTGCTTCCATTTTGACCATTTCCTTTTTTTTTAAGTTCTCCACTTTTATACTATAACTATACTATACTATAACTATTTCTAACTGGAGTCCGGGGACCAACAGGGGTCTTTAAGTATGTTGTAGGGGGTCCCAAGCAATATTTTAACTTTAATTAAATATTTTGGAAGTTGGAACAAGGGAAGAAATCATTTCTTAGGGGCAAAATTCTCTCAAATTGGGGGTTCGTGCATCTATTGTGGGAGTCGTTGACATGAAAAGGTTTGAGACCCTTACAAATAAAGATGTTGTCTTAACAAGAAACAACTTCTCTCACAACATTCAGTTTACTCAATCCTCTCTTTCTCTCTCTCTCAGATTCCAGACAGATGCAGTCGTCTCCATCTTGGTCCTACGACCAATCATATCCCTACCTTGGCCAAATAACGCCCACCGTCCATACAGCCAATCCCCTTTCGCCTGGTCGATCCACGCTCAGTGACCTGTCCTCACGACTCACAGGTAACACACTCACAAGCGTGTACACACAGAGTAAACAGACAGTAAAGTAAGAAGGTGGTAACCTTTGACCTTTGCCCTCTCACAGGTCCTGACCTCACAGCCTTCAGTGACCCCAGGATGACCTTAGAACGACCTTTCACCTCCCTCCCCTCCTTGCCTGACTCTCGCTTTACCGACCCCAGGGTCCACTACCCTACCACAGCGGCCGCCTTCACCTACGCCCCCTCTCACAACCCCGTCTCCAATGGCGCCCTTGGCATCACCATGGCGACGGCCATGGCAACTACGCCGGCGGGGAGGTACCACACCTATCTGCCCCCCCCCTACCCGGCGAACACCCCCCACCAGCCTCAGAACGGGCCCTTCCAGTCCACCTCCTCGCCATATCACCTGTACTACTCCACTGCCGCCGGGTCTTACCAGTTCTCCATGATGGCGGGGGGAGGAGGAGGCAGTGACTCGCGCTCCCCGCCGAGGATCCTGCCACCGTGCACCAACGCCTCCACAGGCTCATCCCTCCTGCACCCCTCTTTGCCCAATCAGAATGAAGGAGTGGGTGTGGAGGTGGAGTCCAGCCACAGTAGCTCCCCGACAAACATGGCAGCAGCTGAAGCTGTCTGGAGACCTTACTGAAGCAACCAAGGTGGTAGAGGACACTGTGGGTGCACTCATTTAAGGTGACTGCCTGGTCATGTAATGGCGCACACTGAAGACAAAACCCACCAATCCAAAATAAGATAAGTGAACTACAACCTGAATCTCAGTGAAAGGATGAGGAAAGTCTGGTGTTATTCTATATTTTGTTCTCAAAAAAGACCCAAACCAACAATGTGAAGATGTAAATCTTTAAAAAGACACATCATTTCCTGAAACATCTGGTCAGTGTAGTTTTCATCAAACGTTAATTAAACAGGAGAAGGGCACTATTTTCAGCGGCATATTAATCCACATTTGGTGATCTAGTGAGTCTTTGTGACAGCAGGATGGTGTGTGTGTGATCGAGTCAAAATAAACTACATCATTTGTGTTCACATTAATGAGGGAACATGTCACATTGTGCAACATCGATGTGTTTTTAATACTTTTTGGACAACAATGGAGTGCTTTGGCTTAGAGGAATAAGATATATATACACACACACTGTACTTGTTAGTAGTTACATTTATTGTTGGTTTTGGTCTGCACATGGGATTTGCTGACAATAAAATGACTTATTCTTCAACATTATTATTATTATTACATATTGCCCCTAAATTTCCTTCTTGGACATGTTGGGTCAAAGGGTTCCATCCAACTATGGATGCAGTTTCTACTAATGTTCCTTTGAATTGTTCAGTCATAATAGGTTTTCTAATTTTTGGATAAACACCACCCAGTAACGTTCGTCATTACTTGACCAGGAACCTGATAAGTGCGCCCAGATTAAAACTGTCTACTGACAAACAATGTTGGCCAATGAAAAACAAGTTGAATGACTGACAGGTGCATTAGTCAACAGGCAGCAGTGAGTGGACGTCCCTGTCTCACTCTCAGGACACAGAAAAGGACTTCAGAGAAAAGCTTCTATTAAATGAAGGACAAACAGAGAGAAGCAGGAGAGTATTTTGGTTTTACACTGACAAAGTGCATGCAACAGCACTGGACTGATCTCAATCCACCTTCCTTTGTAAAATAACTGCTTCCTCATAAATGTTGTTGGTGTTGTGAATAGATGATTTACTCATGCCAAAAATTGTGATGGCCTGTTTGTGTTTACCTTCATCTACCATTGTTTCACTCCCCCGTGATTTTACCACTCCTCGCTCATTCTTGGGTGCCATTTTTAAAAAAACTAATCCCTAAAATAAAAAAACTAATGTTTTTATGGCCCCTGAGGAATATTTCGCCAAAAAGTCACCTCTAACGTTGACTTCACTGCAGACTGCATTCTTTATGCTCATCTTTTAAAATGATTAAACATCTTCATTTTACACTAGTTGAGCCGGTCAATTGATTATAGACTGGATTCTAATGAGACATCTTGCTCAGATTTCTACATTAACACAGAAGAAAATGTCTATAGTGAGGTCTAAATTACACAGAATATTGGTTTTGAGATGAAAATGCTAAAATCTAAAGATTGTCTACCATCAGCAGCTTTACTATGATGATTTATTCCCCTTTCTTTTAAATTTTGACTTATTTTCTCACCCCACTGAGACAAATTAGAGCATGGAGTTTTGTTAAATACTTTAATTTATTCCTACAATACCATTTTTGGTAGCATTTCACTTGTATGTGTGTGTATGTGTGTATGTGTGTGAGTGTGTGTCACATTTACCCGTGATCCACTGTCGATTTGTACTGTATATATCCGTGGCTGTAAATGACACCTGCATTTGATCATGTTTTCATCACCCCTCTCTCTCTCTCTCTCTCTCACACACACACACACACATCAGGTTTGTTTTGACAATGTTGATTGTGCACATTTGGTTTTGATTTATATAAATATTATTGTGAAGAAAATACAGCTCTTGTCTTGTGGTTGCTGGTTGTCTGATTTGTTTTTCTCAATGACATTTCTCTTTATATAAAATTCTCTCCTGCATGCTGCCACCTGTATCCATGCCAAACCCCCCCC